CTGAAAAAGTGATTATAATGCGAAAAAGACATCTGGCTACCATGTCGCCAACATGCCAGTGCGCCCAATGAACGAACCGTGCTACAACGTGGTATTTGAGCTAAAACAATTCCTTGACTTCATGCGTTCTAATATTTTGGCTTTTAATGAAATCAGCTCTCAGCAAAACTCTTTCTTTATTCTGAGGGATTTCAAGTTCTTTTTTTTAGAAATTGATAAGGTCGATCTAATTTCATCGATGAACAAGGCGATAAATTAGAATATAGGAAGTCCATTTGTCCACTTAAAACATAAGATCCTGCGTACCAGGATATTGTGCAATAATAATGTGCAATTAGCATATATATGATCTTTTTCATTAAATGCTTTTCATACCTCTATATGTACGAATCATGCTTAAGAACTGTCTGAGCGGCAATGTAGTTTAGAAAGTAATTTCAAGAACTTAGGCCAATGGGATTGTTTGAAAATCTCATTCGTATAAGTTCTCTCAAACCTATACTTGAAAATGAATGACTCTGTGATAAACGGATTTTTGTTGTTTTTTCTCTATAATAGCGCACAGAAAGTTTTGCATAATTTCCTCATAAAATTTTATGCTTCAGTTGATCTCTTCCCATATCTATACTTCTCAATTTGCTCGCATAGTATATGTCGTACAATGATGTCCATACATCCTTCATCGCTAGACCATCAATACCCTGTCGACTGCAGTGTTTCATATTTTTGATTTAAGCAATTTTGAAATTTTGCATATCTGCCTATTTAAAAGGAGATATTAACATTGACCGAAGAAAGGATCCCTCTTATGATCAAATTGTCATATCCAATAAATCCTCATTTTTTTTTTCATTTGTTCGCAAAAGACAAACTCTTTCAAAATATATATTAGAATCAGATTTGAGTTTACCTCTTCACTTTTACATCTCGCTATTGACAAAAATTTGCTCCATGGCCATTGTTTACTGTAGTCAGCAAACCCAACATCTTTCCGACATTTTTTCTCTGAAAACCCAAAATTTATTCATACTAATGGACAAAAGATATATTTTGTAGAAACGCTGATATAGAGCCCAAGGGAAATTCCTTTGAAAGCTGATAAAAACCTTACTTTTGATTTTAATAGATCCTCGCATCTTTATGCATTCTTTTCAAAAACATATACGGTGCATTTGAGCCGTTTGGTACCAGTTTCTACCCAGAAGTATCCGAGGAAGGGATTGCTGCCTTCATTAGAGCCTTGAAGTCGAAAAACCAATTTACTCTCCGAAGAAACTTCCCATCTATGAAAGCCCTTTAAAGATTTCTCTTCTGTAAGCTTTTCATACTCTTTCCTCATTCATTTCATAAACCGCTAACGATATTTGATTTTGAATTTGGTCTATAGCCTCTCCCTTTTCTCTTTGCTTCGCTGAATATCATTTTTACGACAGGGCTTTTTCTTGATTAAGTAGATAATCAACAGCTTTTGACTCTAGGCACTTTCTCTTCTCTTTTTCCATTTTTTACTCACAATTCTTAGCTTCTCTCCTCTTGCTCTGGCATATAGTACTTCCAGTCTTTCGTTAGCCTCTAAAACTTTTTGTTATTCCCTGCAACTGCATTCCTGCACTTTTTTTGAGTGAGCAGCTCCTTGACCTTTTATCTTGTTGCCTCATTTCTTGGTTTTCTCTATTATTAACCCGTGAACGCCATTGCCATCGTTTGCCGTTGTGTTGAACCGGAACAACAGTTGTCTGCTCTGTGTGTGCTTGCTCGGAAAATCACTTCTCGTACGAAAAGTGATGGTGTAATCTTTTGGGAACTCAGAAGACTCATCATCGCCAATATTTCGCATTGTTTGGAATCAAGACGAATGGAACACAAATCGACTTCTGCTGTTAAAAGAAAATTGATTTGCATAAGGAAAGTGGTTGAACATGCAGTCATTATCTTAAATACTCTACCCTATATGCCAAAATAGCGATTTCTTATTGGTTGGTTAATGTGATTGAGTGGTATCTTGCAAGGCTAGGTATTGTAACTTATTAGCAGTACTTTTTGAAAAACTTCCGTAAAACGTTCTTAGCTTTTTTTTCAATAATATCTAGAGATTTATCATAGAAATATGCAATTAGTGGAAGCCCTTGCTAATTGAATAGCTACAACTGGAAAAATTTGAATTAATTGTTAGGTTGTCTGATAGGTTTGTACCGTATTTTCATAGCAATTCTGAGAAACCGACATTTTGGCCTCACATTATACATAATTCGAAAGTAAAATTTCCTTTATAAAACATTTTGCTTAGCTTGTTCAATGATTTTGGTTTTGTTAAATTACAAGTGATTGAACATGCAATTTCAGAGGACAATCAAAGGTTTGCCTGATGGCTTAATTTTCTCCGTTTGTGAGGAGCTAACAAGTCACCATAGTGTTACCTAGCGAAAGTTTTGGGTATGCTAATTGCATGATAAAATTTCTCACCGTACGACTTTAACTTAAGATTACGGAAGGTGCATGTTGCAGAC